AAAGATCGAAATAACAGTTTTGAATGATGTACCAGTAGGCATCATACCGTATTAAAAAAGGTAAATGTATCAGACAATTATTGTTACTTTAATTATTGTTACAGAGGGTTTGTTTACGTTTTTGCCTTCGTAGCCTTCGAAAAGCCGTGACTTTTTAATACAACCACCCAGTACCTGTCTGTAATACTGCCGTGTTAACGAACAACCCCTTATCTGATGGGTTAAAAGAGTTAAAATATTGTTTCATAAAATTTGTAAATAAAACACTTTTATATAATATAACCGTCGGATTTACACTTGATAGTATATTTCATTACACTCAATTAATAAATCTAATGAATATGATTATACTTAGAGTAGAGGAACACAATCAGGCTTTGTACAAAATCCGGTACCGAAATCGTTTTATACATGTTTTTTGATTTGCATATTATCATGAACCTATTTTTCTGTATCGGTACCTAAATCGGTCTTCCGGTACCGGTACCACAACCGGTATACCGGTTTTTTAAAAGACTATACCGATAGGTACCAGAATATTTCAAAAGTACCGCTCCTGGTACCGGTATACCAGAGGACCGAACATGCCTACAAACAATGTCCATGTCTCAGAAGCATAAAGCATAACCGGAAAGACAAGATTATTTACAAGGTTGATTTTTGTCGATTATGTGACTGTTCAACCAAACTTTCGTGAGCCGCGTCATAGCATTACGGCCCAGTTGAATTCTGTGGAGTATTTCCATTTCGCCAACTGCCGGTATTAGATATAAGTGCACCTAAATAAATAAATTGTTGCACAACTTCGCAGCGGTCTATGTTTGTGAAGTTGTTGTTTTCGCCTTAGTCTTTTTGTAATTATGCGAAGGCCGAACTCTCTACTGGCAGTTTCCAATCTTGCTAGAATTGTCTTCAGTTCTAGCTGGTTTGCGGTTACCAATAGCGTGTCATCAGCAAAACGTAGGTTTGATATTCTGTAGCCATTCAATGATACATCTCCTGTTCATTCCTCTAGCACAATCCTCATAATGTATTCGCTTTAAATGTTAAACAGTATCGGGGACAACGCGCAGCCATGACGTACTCCTTTTCTTATTTGAGAAATATCGGAAATACTTCCATCCAACTTCACAACTGCTTGGTTGTTATTGTATAGACCTTTTAATATATCTACAAGATGTTGTGGTACTCCGATTTTAGACATTTTACTCCATAAATTTTCCCAGCATACGTTATCGAAGGCATTTCCGTCATAACAAAGCATAAATACTCGATATATTAGCTGGCGAAGGTTTAGTATTTGCTTTCGAGTTCCTTTCTATTCACAAAGCCGACTTGTTCGGGTGCAAGTTGCCAAGATACATAGTTTGATAGCCTTTGCTTGTGTATGTATAGCATAATTTTGCTGCCATGAGAGAGTAGTGTAATCAGCAATATGCAACAATTTATAGCAATGGACAGGAGATGTATCATTGAATGGCTACAGAATATCATACCTACGTTTTGTTGATGACACGGTATTGGTAACCGCAAACCAGCTAGAACTGAAGACAATTCTAACAAGATTGGAAACTGCCAGTAGAGAGTTCGGCCTTCGCATCAGTTACAAAAAGACTAAGGCGAAAACAAAAACTTCACAAACATAGACCGCTGCGAAGTTGTGCAACAATTTATTTATTTAGGTGCACTTATGTCTAATACCGGCAGTTGGCGAAGTGGAAATACGCCACAGAATTCAACTGGGCCGTAATGCTATGACGCGGCTCACGAAAGTTTGGTTGAACAGTAACATAATCGAAAAAAATCAACCTTGTAAATAATCTTGTCTTTCCGGTTATGCTTTATGCTTCTGAGACATGGACATTGTTTGTAGGCATGTTCCTTCCTCCGGTATACCAGTACCAGGAGCGGTACTTTTGAAATATTCCGGTATCGGTACAGTCTTTTAAAAAACCGGTATACCGGTTTTGGTACCGGTACCGAAAGACCGATTTAGGTACCGATACAGAAAAATAGGTTCATGATAATATGCAAATCAAAAAACACGTATAAAACTATTTCGGTACCGGATTTGGACAAAGCCTGATTGTGTTCCCCTACTCTAAGTATAATCATATTCATTAGATTTATTAATTGAGTGTAATGAAATATACTATCAAGTGTAAATCCGACGGTTATATTATATAAAAGTGCTTTATTTACAAATATTAAGAAACAAGATTTTAACTCTTTTAACCCATCAGATAAGGGGTTCTTCATTAACACGGCAGTATTACAGACAGGTACTGGGTGGTTGTATTAAAAAGTCACTGTTTCTCGAAGGCTACGACGGCAAGAACGTAAACAAACTCCCTGTAACAATAATTAAAGTAACAATAATTGTCTGATACATTTACCTTTTTTAATACGGTATCATGCCCACTGGTACAGCATTGAAAACTGTTATTTATTGCAATCTTTTGTAGAGCCTTTTTTGTGCAGCGGGATGATTACGGAAGTGCACCAGCCACTTGGCCAATGTCCTGTGTGCCAAATAGTTTGATAAAGTTCGTGTAGTAATCTTACACCCGTGGGACTCATACTGGTTATATTATATATACTGGTTATTCTGCTGTTATTTTGTCGATACCTGGAGATTTTTGTAGGCCGAGATTTCGAATAGCTACTTCTACTTTAGAAAGTAGGATGTCTGGTTCTGATGGTTCTTAATCGTGTTTTGGATGGTTGGTAAAGGTATCGGTCGCGTCGGTAAACAACTCTTCGCCAGTATTTCCTCCATCTTTCGATTACTTTCTTAATTTCTGTCAAAAGCTGGGTGTCAGCATCGTGAATTGCACATGTTCTTGGAGAAAACTTACACGTAATTTGCTTTATTTTGGAGAACAAATCTCTTGTCTATTTTTTTTATTGTTTTTGTGTCTAATCCTTATCACTTAGGCGTGTAAAAAATAGATAAACCCCTATTCTCAGACCTACTGAATATACATATAAAATTTCATTAAAATCGATCAAACCGGTTCGGAGGAGTATGGTGACACGATATTTTTATATGGTATAAAAAATTATTTTATTGTGATGTATATACAGGGTGTACCAATATTTCGTGAAAAATTTGGAGAGGTAAATTTCTTTAAATCTTTTTATAACCGGGATAGACACCAAAGGCGCCATATCTTTTCAAAATGGTAAAATCTGTCAATGATTCATGTTGGTACTGCGGACTAGGAGACACACGAGACCATGCAATATGTTATTGCACAAGATGGACACAGTTTCGTCATATTGCTCAAATTCAATGTGGAAAGAATATTTCGGAGGAAAATAACTGGAATACTGTTATGATAATGATAGAAAATATTATAAAAACGAAAATATTAGATAAACGAGGAATGCCAAGTGCCACTGGATAGCTTGAAGTAATACCTAACGGTGGTTTCGGGCTGTAGCAGGGTGTATAAAACATCTCTGGTGGATGTCTTTTTCAAAAAAAAATATTGCGTAGACATAGAACTACTCGAGAGAAATCGGGATTTGATATGACACTTGATTTGGTATGATATATAACATAAATTAGGATTGATTGACGTATTCAATTGTTTTCCGTCACTTCCTGTTTCATCGGAAATTACTATAACTTTTGATTTTTAAATGACACCCTCGGTAATTTGTTACTTTATTCCATAGAAAATGACACTCTAAATAGAATTGACATATCATATGTCAACTTTTGACATTTTCGAATATGGTTTATTTGAAATTGCAACATGCGATTTATAACGACAAATTGACTCGAAATATCAAGTGTGTGGTATTAAATTATTCTTAAAAAAATGCCTTTTCCAAATATGGTTGTTATTTTCGGTGAAACAGAAAGTGGCCAAAAGGAATTGAATGCGCTAATCAATCCTAATTTATGTCATATACTTACATACCAACTCTGTTTTTTTTTTGTCTGAAAAAATAAAGAAGTTATAGGGGTGATCCATTATTGAGACACACCCGGTATAACTTGGTGTAGCAAGATATATTTGTTGTAAGTCAGCTTCGGAAAAACATTTTTTTCTCTCAAAAAATATACGTGGTGGCATTTTTTACAACAAACAAAAATTTTGTAATTACCAGAAGGGCCATTTTACGAAAAAAATTCAATAGGTATAGTAAATTAAAATGTTTGTAGAGTAGAGGGTAGTTGCACGTTTCACCCATCCGGTACTTGCCCGATAAAATAAAGTTTTAAATATTCCTGTCAGTTGCTTCAAAGATTAGTATTTTTTCTATCAGTATATTTATATCACCATCTTTATGTGAGCATTTTTTTTTATTTATCGGTTAGTCAGTAATTTTTTTATTCATCGGTTGGTCATTACCACCTCTATTTTTACTCGTAACAATTTAGATCTTTTGCCATCCGGTACTTTTTCTTAATTTTTGTAAGTGTCATACATATACATACATACAGAAAAGTCAAATGTTAAAGCGGTTAACAAAATATAGCCACCCCTTCTCCCATTCAAATTAGAATGTCTTAAAGAATAGAATTCTCTTAGAATATCTTAAAAAATGTGTTTATTTTTTTAAAGTTTGATTGTATCTAACGAACAAACGAAACACTTTTGTATTGAGGTAAATTTTGTCCAATGAACTTATTTTCATTCGAAAAATACGTAGTAGTTCTATGTATACGGAATATTGAAACGCCCTGTATAAAAATGATATCTATTTTAAAATGATTTAATAATGTATTTTAAAATGACTGAAAATATCTAAACTCTATTACTAACGTTTGCTTAAATAAAGAAATAGATAAACCCCTATTCTTAAATAAAGCATGAAATTCATACTGGCGATCTGTGATAAGTGTTATACAATATTGAAATATATCAAATGTAGGTTTCCGGAAAAGATCTACTTCCAGCTTTATTCTAAATTATAAACCATAAAAATATATAAAAGAATATTTTATTGTAATAATTGTATAAAAAATTATAAAATTGCTCACTATCATGCTATAACTATTTACAAAATAAATACCTAATATAATATTAGAATGCAAACATATTATTAATTATTGAACTAGATATAGTTTTAAGAAAGTTCTTTTGCTTTTTGTAGGTAAAATACATCTAAAGGCACATGCATCAGTAGTTTGTTAGATATCCCCATAAAAAGTCCAGCAAGTTTTTTTCGTAATTGCGGCAACATCACCTTGAACACTTCATGACCGTTTTCTCTCAGAAATAAGTTAATGGCTTCAGCTGAAAATCAAAAAATTAAATGTATTAATGTTTTAATAATAGATATATTTGATCAAACAGCTTTGTTGCAATATAATAGTTATAATATTATTTGAATTTAATATTATACTAATAAAATTTCTTGACACATTCAGTGTCAGTCAATCATTCAGTATTGAAAATATAATAATTTCGGACCATTGTCTTTATTTATTTTGATTAACACAACGTTGTGATCAGAAGGATCACTAGTGTAAACTAAACTAATTCTTAAAACTGCCCAGCTTTTATACTACTATTCTCATTCACCCGTGAAAAAGTTGGGTGTAGTCAACCGTGAGGTTGTCCACTTCGAATGCCTGCATTGGAACGTTTTATCAGTGGTTGCCATATCGTAGCTATTTCGGTACTAGGATTGCTAAAAAGTTTATTATTGCTTGCTATAAAAACGGCTTCTTTAAATTTACGGTTTTTTTCAATGAGGTTTTCTGTGGACAACCCGAGCTTCCGACCACTTTATATTGTACTGTTTTGACCAAACATGGTCCGCAATACCTGACTTTAAGTCGTACATTTAGAGCACGTTTAGTCTCTTCAATATACGACTCACCGCATTAAGAAGGTACCTGGTTGATGCACTCTTTCTCATGTTTCAATAATTCCGGACTTGTTTGTGTTAGGACGCTTCTTAGAGTCGATCCCGACTAGACAGTTTTAATGTTATACTTTCTGGCTATTTGCCTGATCTTTTATGACATTCCTTTTACATATGGAATAGTCAAGAGAGAGCAAGTATCCTTCTGAGGTCGATGAACCAATGAGTCAGTTATACAAGTTGATATAATTTTATATATGGACTTGTGATAGTCCCATTGGACGAACTATTGATATTGAAAATACCAAGAATTTAGGTACAACTTCGAGAAACACCTCACTGTAGTATTGAGTAATAAAAAAGATTGGAAGGAAGAAACGTTTGCTCAGTATGTAAAAGACCATACCATACCATAACTTGGTATATTGACGCTTCCCAATCCAAAGCTGGGACAAGGATAGGATATTTGGGCCGAAATCCTTCAAGCAGAAATTTACGCTATCAAAAGATGCGTACAATTTATCTTAGATAGGAACTATCAAAAACAGGAAATAGCCATCTTATCCGATAGTCAAGCAGCACTACACGCGATTACCTCAGTTACCATCAATTCAAAGTTAGTCAAAGAATGCCTAGAGAAGCTCAACAAATTAGGCAGAGAAAATAAAGTCCTCCGACTCTTAGTGCCTGCTCACCAAGGGATAGAAGGCAATAAAAAAGCAAATGATCTTTATCCTTAGAAAAGAAGCGAACACTCCACTAACTGGACCAGAACCGCTCTGTTTTCCAAGCGGGAACCAACTGAAAGCGGAACTAAAGAATCTTGAAAACTCCATCCGGAACCAGGAATGGGTGTCCCCCGAGGGGTGTCTCACTCGGGTAAAAAATGTACACGTACTGCCAAAATATCCTTCCAATGCTAAGCGACTGCCAATGACTATGAAGAAGACTGCCTCTGACTGCCATGTAATTATTATAGGTGACTGCCATAAGACTGCCAGCGACTGCCAAGAAAATGTACATGTAATTCCAACAGTGAGACACGAGACACCCCTCGGTGTTCCCCAACGGTCTAAGACTTTTCGACGATGCGATGCTCACGCAAAAACGGCGTTAAACGCACTTAAACGGCGTGTAAGTGCTACACGCCCCACTAAGTTTGTACCCTTAGTCAGGGCCGGATTTCCGCCTAGGCCTGCAAGGTCCGGGCCTAGGGGCCCAGCCAGCCTAGGGGCCCCATGCAATGAGTGGCGCGCAAGGCGCCAGGCGCGCTTTTATATATAAGCTCCAAATTGGCTATGACCGGCACTGCCCTTAATTGCTTCAAAGATTAGGATTTTTTCTATCAGTGTATGAGCATTTTTTATTCCACCGGTTGATCAGTAAATTACCATCTCGATTTTTACTCGTAACAATTAGATCTTTTGCCATCTTAGTCTGCTTACATTGTTATTTGTTATATTATTTTATTATTTCTTTTTTAATAACTATTCATACTTATAAATATACCGAGGGTGATTAATTTATAATTTGCCACAATCCCAATGGCACCCAACGTTTAGGTTTATCGTGGTGAGGTTAGGTTAGTAAATGTGCATTCACTTACTTAAAATGCTATTATTCCTAAAAATATTTTTAACCATCATCCTCATTTTCTTGACTGTAAGGTCAACATGAAGAGCATCTATGTGAAGATATTGTCTTCCCTGAATTTCATTTACGCTTGTCTTTCCTTTCAACATGCAATCCAAATTATCTGAAATTGAAGAACCCATTAAAATTTTTATCATGAAATTAATATTATATATTAAACAATAAAATATAGAAAACAAATTTCTTGCAGTAGAGGTATATAATAAAATTATATAAGGATTCTTGCCACTTAACTGCTAATATAGAAATTCAATTCTACGCTGTGTTTGTCATAATGCGGATCAACCTGCTCTCACTACCGGTTTCGGAGCCCTACTCCATTATCAGGTGAGCTTGGGAGATCCACAAAATGACAACCACAGCGCAGAGATAGTTAATTCCGACTTGTCGGAAAGTATCGGTTAGATATTAATATAATTTTATTATATACCTCTACTGCAAGAAATTTGTTTTCTATATTTTATAATTTGGCTTGCCTGAAAAAAAAGCCTTTTACCATCCTTTTACTATCGATAGTTGCGCCTCGGTGGTACGAAAGTACTACCATTGCACGCAGGCCGCTATCTCCCGTTCGGGACTTAATATCTAACCGATACTTTCCAACAAGTCGGAATTAACTATCTCTGCGCTGTGGTTGTCATTTTGTGGATCTCCCAAGCTCACCTGATGATGGAGTAGGGCTCCGAAACCGGTAGTGAGAGCAGGTTGATCCGCATTATGACAAACACAGCGTAGAATTAAATTTCTATATTAGCAGTTAAGTGGCAAGAATCCTTATATAATTTTATTAAACAATAAAGAGATATTGTAGATTTCTTTTTCATTGGCCAAAAATAGACGTTTTTCAAGAATTATGGGGGGTTCAAAAGATATAGATCATAATTTTAAAATGTTTTCTTTGTTGGCCAAATGTTGACTTTGCATATACAGGGTGTCAAAAGATAAAGTAACTATGTTTCTTCGCTGGGTGATACTACTATATAAAAATAAAAAAAAAGTTCATATGAACAGGGTGTCCCATTTTTGTTGAAATCATACGGTATCTCCGTTATTAGTAAAGATAGGAGTATGTGGTTTGCACAAACCTGTCCCACTTTTTTTGTCAAACGGAAGATGCTGTAAACAAAATTTTCGTAGCCTTCTTCGTTTCTAAGCTACAGGGTCTTTTCTAAAATTTTGCAATTTGGGACAGCCTCCTTATTTCCATTATTGTGGATGATATTGAGAAGGTGAAAACTGATTTTTGTAGAACTTTTCGTAACGTAGCATACAGTGGCGTAGTCTGTTTTTCTACGAAAAAATACTAATGAACTAAAGTTTTTTTTTTCAAATGGAACACCCTGTATATTTATAAATCCTATGATCCATCTTGCTATGAGCTTCTCAAAAATATATATCACCATTTACTGCAATATTTAAGATTTTATATGATTTTCTTATTAGTAGGCCGTGATAAATAACAAAGAAATCAAAATGGTATCTACTACAAAATGGCGATTGTGAAAAATTCCGTAACAGCCCTGAAAGGATACTTTCCATTAGGATAGAGAGTACTACTAGTGGTACTTTTTTAGTCGTATAGATACAGTAATTTCAACAGATGATATAAAAAGCTAGAATTTTATTACGTAAAAAAGGTGTTCTTCGTTTAGTTTACGATGCATCGATTTTAGTATTAGTGAAATGATAAAATGTAAAGAAATTTTAAATAAATTAATCGCGGTTTCGCTAATGCTAAGATAGGTGCATCGGAACCTTTAAACGCAAATATCTTGAAAACCATTCGAATTAAACGAAAAGTATCTTTTTACATAAAAAAAGTCCCAGCTTTAATTTTCATTTGTTGAAATTACTGTATCTATAAGGATAAACGAAGTACAGCGAGTAATACTCTCTACATTAATGGAAAGTACCCTTTCAGGGCTGTTACGGAATTTTACACTATCGCCCTTCACTTTGGTATTAAAATGTCTGTAAGTACCAAATTTCAAGAAAAACGGTTTACCAATGTTCTTAAAAATAAACAAAATATCGAGCAAAATATCTTATTTTTATTTAACCTTTCGAAGGCTGTAATTTCTTTGGGAAGCATTTTAGGGCATATGTTGATAGGAACTTTTTGTTTTATTTTTACCTGTAGAATCACCCACCGAATTTGGATATTATACTATTCAGGTCAAATTTAGCATTGTTTTATAATTCATTTTGAAAATATATAGATTCATCTTTACCGAATTGTCCTAAGAAAGTTCCATTTCCACTAGCTGGTAAAATAATTAATATACCACTGCTCTGGTATCTGGCATTAATTCTCAAAGAAGGTATATTTATTTTTGCTTCAAATGGTCTACCATTTTCGGACAACCTAAAATAAATTACTGATAATATAATGATCATTTAACTAAAACACTTCAATCTTCAATACGTACTTTAACATAGACATAGTAAAATTGCTTGCTCCATATATGTTCATGTCTTTTAGTGAGATCTTGTATCCATTAGGACCACCCGTCAACGAAAGGGACAGCTCGTCCATCAAGAATGGTTCCACGGATGGCAGTTCCACTTCTTTGATACCGGTGGCTAAATACGGTTGCAAGTGATGCAAGGCTCCTATCAGACACTGTGTGAGCTTTGGATCGTCTTCGTAGCATTGTTTCACATAAGCAGCTAAATACATAGAAATAAAATAGTTTAGCAAAACATATGCTAAATGTACTATATACAGTATGTATAATATACAGTATGTGTCCCCGGATTGTCTTTACAAGAGGAAAAAAACTTTTTCATTATTGACATTTTGGGAAAAATGCTTCTTCATGAAAATTTAAGCTTGTTCTGAAAGGTTAATCCCGTTTATACTTTTCTAAATTTTCACACCGTTCCCGAGAAAATTAAGAAAAACATACATACATACATACGTACAGCCGTTACTCGCAGACGAGTATTAGACACACATAAAGAAGATGGTCACGCAAGGCGTTTTCTTTCATGAGCTTTTCTGTGACTGAAAAGCCCGATACGTGATGTTATCTACCTACCCCACTCCGGACATTCAAAAATCTCATTGCTTCGTTGCCGATGTTGCCTCTTTATTTTTTGGTTGTCGCTGTTAACTGAGTTTACAACTCTTCTCCATTGAGTTCTATTATGAGCTGCTTTTTCCCACTCATTCTGCATGTTAAGCCCCTTTAAGTTTTCGTCGAAAATGTCCTTGTACCTTTTCAGTTGTCCACCCGGCCTCCTCTTACCGTCAACAAGCTCACCGTAAAGCAGAGATTTTGGTATGCGGTTTTCTTGCATTCTGCATACGTCACCAGCCCATCTTAAGCGGGATTTTGTAACCATGACTTCAATACTCTCACAGTTAGCTTTTTCAAGAATCGATACGTTTGAGACATGATGGAACCACCAGATTCTTAAGAGTTGTCTAAGGTGTCTCTGTTGCAACTTGTTTAATGCGTTCATGTGTCGGCGGTACGGCACCAAAACATAAAAAGACGGTTAAAAATCTAAAAATCAAAACGCGCTTGTATGGTAATATAACTTCGTTTTTATTATTTGATAGATTGTTATTCATAGAATTTTAAATAACGTCGTAATTTTTGTTGTTTTAGAATGTTAAAGAAGCACAACATTTATTTAGTTCAATGCTACGGAAAGGGTGATGATAGTTATCGGAAAATGTGATACTTTAACAACAGGAAAGAATATGAGGTTAATCAAAATTAATAATAACCATCTATCATAGAAACACCTTTTGATTTTTAGAACTTGGAAGAAATTCAATCATATTTTCATGTATTTCTTAATTTTCTCTAAAAAAGAATGGACATTTTGAAAAGTATAAACGGGAATTACCATTTCAGAACAAGCAAAAATGTTTATGAAGAATGCATTTTTCTAAAAATGTCAATAATAAATAAGTTTTTCCTCTTGTAAAGACAATCCGTGGACATACTGTAGAACTGTAGATAATATAGTTAAAAATAGGTGGCAACATTTAAGAGTAAGAACTAGGGAATAAAAGGGGGGGTAGAGGAATTATGAATTCGACAGAGTATAGCTTCATTCAGAACCTCACAATTAGTGGAATAAAAAGGGAATAAATTAGTGGTTTCAATTACACTTTATACTTTCTAATTTACGATTATTCACAATGTTTAAAATAACACAATTCAAAATAATAGGATATACTAGCAACAGCTTAGGTTAGTCAGTTGTATCCATAGAGAAAGCCTAATATTTAGCTTATAAAACAATCAACTTTTGATTTCTAACCACAATTTCTCTTGACGGAAGATAATCAAAGGTCAAAATGATATTTCTCCAAAATTTTGAAGTATAATTAGTGAAAAAGTTAATAGTTTGAGTAAATTACCAAATTAAAATTAGTAGAAACAGTTTCAACTGTTTCTACTAATTTTAATTTGGTATTACGCCACTATCAATAGTTTATAATTGAGGCGTTGAGAACCAAAGCGGACCATCCCACAAAATTGTCCATATTGAGATAATCACAAAACTGGACATAAAAATGCATAATACTGGTTGCCAAAACGGACCATCCGCGCTTTATTTACTCTAAAACAGATGTCGCCACAAAACAGGTTGGTCCACATGTAATAAAATAACAATTAACTGTTTGCCATAGAGGACTATGTGCTTGGTCCACTTTAGCATTAAACAAAATCCTAATTAGTGGGATAGTCCGACATATACATAATATTCTACTGACTACTTCATTGAAAAAAAAACCGTCTTACATTTCACATTATTCGAGACACAAAACTGAAAGAAAATGCCTAGCTTCAGACTTAAATATTCGTATTCTTTCTGATGAATATAAAAAATCAACGAACAATTCTTTGTCTGACGAGTATTTTAAATACAAAATTTGACTTATATTTTCACGCGCCAGTCGTTGATTCTTGTAAGAAATGTGACTCCTTCCAAAGCGAGCTAAAAGTACAGGAAAATGAACCAGACAAAAAAAATATGAAGAACTTAAAACTCCAAAAAGAACTCCATCTCAGGAAAGCTTCTCAACTGAAAGACGCCATGGCCCAGGATTCTCAAATTCCAGTTACGAGCGACACTACTGTTTCTGAGTTTGATCTCATGAAAACGTTACCTACCCCAGTAATTTCAACCGGCATCACTTACTACAAACGGCAATTATGGACCCTACTTGGGGTCCATAATCTGCAGACTGAAGAAGTAACTATGTTTGTTTGGGAAGAGTCTGTGTGTCAGAAAAATCATCAGACGCATATACATCAATGCAAAAGCATGTGTCAGACTCCACGAAAACAGCAGATTTTAAAATTGAGAGGGAGTCCAACACGAGCAACAAGGTGATGTTATATAACCAAAATTAGTCATTACATTGTTAGAATATTGCGAATTGACTTTGGAGATAAGGGTGTAAACATTGATGGTAAAAAACTAAATCATCTAAGATTTACCGATGATATCGTATTAATAGCAGACTGTGTTGCCGAAGCAAAAGATATGCTCGAGAGACTTAACACAGCATCTGTTGGTGTGGGTCTAAAATAAATAGTCAAAGACTGAGCTTGATTGAATGCCAAACATGGTAGTGAGCGATGGTGTGTATATTGGGGGAGAGACTATATTGAACAAGTAAGTTCCTACAAGAACCTAGGACACGAAATACGCATTGGCAGAGACAATCAAACTTGCGAGATTGGTAAAAGAATAGACTTAATTTGGACTACCTTTGGCAAATTGACTAGACATGTATTCCGGTCTGACATCCCAGTGTATCTCAAGCGGAAGGTGTATAATTCTACCGGTATATTCTACCAATACTGACATATGATTCTGAAACTCCAACCTCAACCAAAAATAGTGCGAATAAAATAAGAGTAACGCAACGAACGAGCCATGTTAGATCTATCTCTTAAATATAAGATACCTAATAAGCATACGCAGTATGATTGGGTTGCTATATACGGTGGAAAGAATCACTCACTTGATATAGAGTTGGACCGGACATCTGGCAAGAAGAACCAATAATCGGTGAACTAGGAGAATTATTGAATGGAGGCTCAGGCAATCTCTTAAAGATAAAATACTTAATAAACATACGCAGTATGATTGGGTTGCTATATATGGTGGAAAGAATCACTCACTTGATATAGAGTTGGACCGGACATCTGGCAAGAAGAACCAATAATCGGTGAACTAGGAGAATTATTGAATGGAGGCCCAGGCAAGACACTTATCGTAGCTCAGGCAAGACACTGGTCGTCCACCTACATGCTGCGCTGGCCCGACGATATTAAAAAAATTGTGACAAATTGGATGATTGCTGCGAGATATTGTGAGGAGTGGCAGAGATTAAAGGAGGCCTATGTCCAACAGTGGACGCGAGTGGCTGTATAATGGTAATGATGAAAGAAACAATCTTGGAAATTTCCGTTATCATTAAAGTGGCCATAAAGTGGCAAAAGACACTGTCAACTCAATGGAGCGCTGCAAGATTTTTAAGCTTTATAAATGTCTTTAATAATTTGTCATTCATTGTCTCTGTTATATTAACTAAGTGTAAATATCTATAAAGATCAAACTATTAATTCAATAAAAAAAGGTCAATAATTATATACAGTACCCAAGCAGCATTTGGACGTCGGGACAACGTTGTGTCACGCGACCAAACGTCGGGACGCGACGTCGGTACAACCTCGTGCCAACCCTAGTCTGCACTAGTTTGGAGAATAATTTTTGGGTCGAAACGACGTTGGATACCGACGTTGGCTAGAAGCCTAATTTAGTACAAACTGCAACGTTGTTTAAAATCCTAATTCACAGAAATACAAAACTAATATGGCGGTCTAAGTCGCGTTTTATCCTAAATTGGGATAATTATAGTAAAAATATTATTTTTATGATTTAGTGAGAGACATATGTCAGATGGCAGTGAAGGAAAACAAAACAAAAGTATTTAAGTGTGGAGGATGTTTGAAGATCATAATTATTGAAACACTTTAACCGACTCTGTAACTCGTTACCCAAGGCAAAAAAGTTAAACGCAAACAACTTTATTGATAAATGTATTGTTCCTACTTTGAAAAATACTAATGGGCCTTTTTTTTTAGTAAAATGAGAATAATTTATTCGCAGTCGAAAAAATTGTTTCCGCGTGTTTTTTAGGGTCAAATATTTCAAGTTAATGTATTCAAAAAGCAGGAATTGATATTTCAGGAACGAAACATTTTCTTATTTAACAACATGGCGGCTTTCACTTTGTTGTTTTGGAGATTGAGATGGAGTAGTTCGAGTAGTCGCATACTGGACTAATAAAGTCGCAGTTCGGCCTTAACAGGTAGTATACTAGTCGCAAGATTGCCTCATTTAGTCATCCTAGAGTCTAGCTTGTGCCGCCCTCTATAATCTAAATAAACGAGGGAGTGGATAAGTATCGGTAATATATGTCGATGTATATTTAAATTTAGTTTTATATGTACCTTTCTTATGTCCCATTTTAATTAAGTTTTTTTTTATAAAAACAAAAACAGTTGCAAAAAGGTAGTGACTCGACGTCCTACCAACGTAAGAATAAGGAAATCTAAACAACGTTGAAATTAGTAAAACAGACGACGTTTGCATAACGTTGGAATAGGTCTTGAGACTGACGTCGGAAA